CTCGTCTCATCTTTTCAGGATTTCTGCGAGGAACGTGGTGGTGGTTGTAGTAGTAGTGTCGGTTCGTCAACGGCGTATTTTTTCGAGGAGGATTTCTTTTAAACATTCGGGTCGATGTGAGCCGTGAGGAGAAAAACTGGCACGTCGTCGCTGGGGGGAAACAATTCAAACAGTTTTCCGCGACGCTGAAGAACAGGAAGCGAGATGGGTGAGATTTTTTCGTTTATTTTCCTCATCTGCTTTTCCATTTGTGTTGAGGGAAAAAAGGGGGCGTTTTGTTTTCTATGAGGGACAGGGTGGACCAGGGAAAAAGAAAATACCTGTATAGTGAGGCCTCGAGATGTGGACGTTATTGGTGCTTGTACTGGGTTCCCTGAGTGGGAACGTCCACATGTCGGATCTCGTTTTTCAAAAGACTTCAGTAGAAAGAAATTCAATTGGTTCTCTTTCCTTCAGTAAAAAAAAATTTACGTTCTTCCACGGAATCGCAGCGTTTCGCTGTTGAGTTTGACTTCAATCAATTCTCTCGAACTGCTATTTTCTGTGCTGTTTTTATGTTCAGGAAATTACATCGACTATTAATAGCTATAGGAAATTGTTGCTAATAAAGAATTCGATGGCTTTCCAATACCCCGAATATTATTTTGAATTCTTTTTTAACGAGTTTTGTTTATTTCGAAGCTTGTTTGAGGTTTCATAAGCGTTGTTATATTGAGAATAACTGCATCACTGTTATCTGAATTTCTGTAGCGTGACAGTGTCGATTTCTCTTCGAGTTAATTATGTTTGTTCTGGTGATTACGAGGTGAAGCATTCAGCAATTATGAATGAAACACTGTCGCAATACTTCTTTTCTGGTCCAACCTGGAAATTCGAACTTGGCTCTCGGATCCGAGAGACGAATAGAACAGGAGTTTCTGCAAACAGGAAGGCGATAGTTGTGTTTTTTCGGGGTGGGTCATATGAGAGTCGTGTTGACTGGATTTGGGACTGAGTAAACATTTTCTTGTTTGAGCCGTTTTTTTCTTTGCGTGAGTGTTCTGCAGTGAAACTTTTGATTAAATATTTCAGGGATTCAAAAAGCAGCAGTATTATTGTTGAGCCTGACAGTGGCTGTGGTGTCGTCTTCCGACGTCGGTGTTGGCAGCACCGACGACTCTGCTGCAGCATCTCCTGCGGATGATGAGGTATTTTTTCATGCCATGAACGATTTTTGTTTGTTTTGGACTAGTCATGAATTAAAAGGTAAATGCGTGCGAAGATGGAAGTCGGAATGCAAGGTAATAGGAATTTAGTTAGGCCCCGAGATGCGGACGGAATTGGTGCTTGAACCTTTTATCTACTTCGGAAAGTCCGCATGTCGGATCAAATTTTCATTTAGAGTACTAGAGAAATTTATTTTATTGGTTCTCCTGTAGATCAAGACTTGGGAAGGAAGTTTCCAAAATTAAAATAAATTATGTTTCTTGACTTCAATATACAAAAAATAATTGCATTTGGCATGAAAAGGAGTTGAAAAAAAGCGAAGAGCAACTACAAATATTCCTGTATTGTGCACGGATGATGGAAAGAGCTCCATAGAAAGAAGAAATCCCTTTTTATAATATATAATAGTGAATTTATAATGGTTTTTTTTTTTTACTTTTTGGAAATACAGTACAAAATGCTGAGAACCCCTATCCTTTTGGGAGAAAAGAAAGTTTTGGATGACAGAATTGTTGTAGAGAGAGTATACTTGTATACATTGCTCTCTTCTCTAAAGTCCAGGATGTAGAAATATTCTATCTTTTTTGCATTGTTGTTGGGTATACATTGGAACCTAATAAAATAATGGATAATAGAGAAGCAGCGGAACAAATAAAAGAAGGGCAATCAGCCAGTTTGTGGCCAAGAACTTAAATCGAAGAGTACACATTGAAAATATGTTCCGGGTTCTCCTCAGGTCAATTATATTGTGTAATTTGATGACAAGGCAATGGCCAAATTCCCAAGGAACACAGAACTCACAAACCATTGAATAAAAGGAATTTGTGCACAAATCCAGCAGAGATTTAAAATATTTACAGATACAAAAATAAAGAAGGAGAGAGAGAGAGAGTAGTATTTCTTCCCAGTGAAGCTTGTGTGAAGACTTTTTTTAAATCAAAATTGTAATTAGGAGAGAAGAAAAAATCTATACTGTACTTGGTTCTTTCTCAATGCATTACCTTCGCAACAGTTCCACTGTCCTTTGGCTTGAAGGTCCTAAATAGGTGTTCATAATCAACGAAAATATTCTGTATTGAAAAAAAAATATATATTCTTGATGTATATTGCATTGTACAGTATTGTATTTATATTACAGATTGCTTGCGAATACGCGTACCACAGATGTTTAAACAGGGACGGATGCAAGACTGTATTGGGATATTATTTGGATGCGTGTGACGAAGTTCAAGTTGGCCAAACAAACGAGTGTTCCGTTAGTTGCAGACGAGCCCTGGTTGGGCTCATGTCAACTGAAGAAGGGAAACTGTTCCTGCAGGTTGTGTCTAAATTTTTGAAGAACGATTGTTTCATCTTGAAAAAGAAAATTTGGGTTTGTTTGGGACGTCACAGCTACAAGCCTACTAGCGACACGTTGATACTTCCTTTCTTACAGGCAAACAGCTGGGCCACAGCTTCGACACGACTCCTTAGGCCGACCTAACTGAACAGAGCTACGACCACTCTGCTGCCTTTTAGTGTCGGGACATTTTTCATAGTGGAATTTTTTGTGCTTGGATAAAATTAAAAAAACAATTATTGAATTTCCGTTTTGTAGACAATCATGAAGTGAATATATTTTTTTCAAGTTTAATTTAAACTTTTTCATGAAATTTACTGCTTCAAATGTTTATTATTTCTTTTCATCTTTCCCAAATCTTAGGAGGCATTCATGGGTTGTTGAAGAGATTTCGAGTGATTCTGAATTCGATGAACGAAGCTTTCTGAAAATGTTTCACTGAAAAGGGCTAGAAATTCATCTTTTATGCGAAATGATCAGAGTTTTTCGATCATCAATCGAGTTACGATTTATGATTAATTATTCATATCTTGAGACCATTTACATGTTGAGGTATAACGAGTGAAATTCTTGCTTCTTTTCACAGTGATGATCATTGTACAGTAAAGTTCTGTTATGAAGATTTTTTTCGTAGTCCCAGCAGTTTCTCCATTGGGACCATTTTATAAAAATTTTCTTTGCTCCTAGATAATTTTCCTCTATAATTTCAGTACAGTATTCACTAAAAATTCATGTAAACCGAGATTGACTAAATTTTCCTAGATTAAAAATATCGTGACGAATCTTAAGGGCGTATCTAAATCGACGACAAAGGAAATCACTTGAGTTACTTTGAAGTGTGAAGACCAGCACAAAGGACTAAAAAAAAATAACGGACATTTGCATACAGACTTTAACTAAAGTGGTGCTAGATTAGCAAGAGAAAAGGAAGAGCGTCTTTACCAAACGCTTCGCCTACGCCGCACAGCGAACGCCTTGCAGTTCTACAAGACCAAGTGCCGGAAGCTGTTTGACGGTGTCAAGTGCAGTCGGCATTGTCAAAACTCGGTGTTGATTCTGCAGCGACAAGAAAAGGCGTTGCCTTTGAAACACTGTCGGTGCGACGGAACCGAAGCCTACGATTGCCTCGGGATCCGCCACAACCTCCAGCGATTGTGTTTCCTGCCGCCGGCGACGGCGGAAAAGCCCGCCACGACCAAGTCGAAGCCGTCTCCAGACAGTGCCGACGACGTTGAAGGTGGTGGTGGTGGTAGTCCCTTGGACGAGGACGGGTTGCTGCACCTGATGCCTCTGCTGATGTTGCGACAGTTCTTTCAGGGCAAAGGCATGAGCCAGTCGCCCAGACTAACCCCGTCACCTGCTCCCGTGCTCGTGGTTACCGCAGAGCACCACCGCCATTCTGTGGCGGCTGTGTCAAGGTTCCTGGTGGCCTGATGTTCAGGGGGGGTTGGGAAGTCCCTATGTGATACCATGGTGTTCCATTTTGCGCCGGAGGAAGCCTCAGGTAATTCGACTGATGACTCTTACAGTACAGTACAGTATATCCATTTATGCGTGTGTTGGAGGTTGACATTTTCCAACTTTTATGATACAATTTAGACCATTGAAGGAGTGATGTTCAAATTTCTTGGAGAAAACGCCCCTAGAGAGTAATGCGTACCTTTCCACTTGATTTTATGACATTCAAAATGGTTATACAGTAATTATTTTTTATTCAATGTAGATTTCGCCTGGAACGTATGCATTACCGTACTGGAGTAACTGGCGCACCTTTTTTTTAAATTCAAAATTGAGAGAATTAAGGGGATGTGCGCGGCGAAGGCCGGAATACAATTTTCAAAACAATGTTGAAAGTTTAGCTGTGCGTTTAATATAATGGAAAATTTTGACACGAACTTTTTGAATAAAAAAATGGAATATGCATTGAATTAATGTCTCCAACGACGTGGACTACGGAGACGACTACAACGCTGTCAAGAAAGTCCCGTTTCCGTACTCGGTCAGCGGGTCTGATTGGGGCAGTGGACGAGGGCACGAGCACCAATGGCGTCTCGTGGTGGCGGTGTCTGTGGCGGCTGTGTCAAGGTTCCTGGTGGCCTGATGTTCAGGGGGTGTTGCGGGGGGGTTGGGAAGTCCCTATGTGATACCATGGTGTTCCATTTTGCGCCGGAGGAAGCCTCAGGTAATTCGACTGATGACTCTTACAGTGCAGTACGGTATATCTATTTATTGGTGTGTTGGAGGTTGAAATTTTCCAACTTTTATGATACAATTTAGACCATTGAAGGAGTGATGTTCAAATTTCTTGGAGAAAACGCCCCTAGAGAGTAATGAGTACCTTTCCACTTGATTTTATGACATTCAAAATGGTTATACAGTAATTATTTTTTATTCAATGTAGATTTCGCCTGGAACGTATGCATTACCGTACTGGAGTAACTGGCGCACCTTTTTTTTTAATTCAAAATTGAGAGAATTAAGGGGATATGCGCGGCGAAGGCCGGAATACAATTTTCAAAACAATGTTGAAAGTTTAGCTGTGCGTTTAATATAATGGAAAATTTTGACACGAACTTTTTGAATAAAAAAATGGAATATGCATTGAATTAATGTCCAATCTTGAATTCTGGTGTCTCTTATTTTTCACATGTATGAATTTTTTAGTCACGAAAAGTATAATTTCTTCAAAATTTTTGGGAGAAAAAAAGTACGTTGTTTGTCTTGGTACTAAAGTAAATACTTTTCTTTACAGTATATTATTTTGGTCTGTTATAATTATATTATCGTCATTTTTTCAATATTTACATCGTTCTGTTTGAGTTGGGTTGGGTTGTCGAATCTTAGAGAAAGCTTCACGATTTTAAGCCAAATTTGACGACCATCAGAGCTAGCTACGGAGAATTTGATCTAAATTTATGTGCAAGTCTTTCAGTTTGTTGGAGATTAACTTTTTCCCAGATCGATCATCGAAAGATGATGAGTTTTGATCGATCATCGAAAGATGATCGATTAAACGGTTCAAAAACCAAATATGGGTGCCCTTGGTCTTATCGTTGGGCTTGATATTGTATTTTCTTTTGTGGGTCTTGTAAAATTTAGTGAACTTTCCAAAAAAAGAGTTGATTCTTATTTTTCTGGCTTATTTTTGCAGGGTTTTTACTTATGACAATGGATGCGATTGGCAATGCGGAGACGGCTGAAAGTGTGCATCATTTCGCCCCAGTATTAAGTTTTTTTGAACAACTCAGGAACAATCGAATCCTTTGTTGATGTTTTTTTGTGTTTCAACCGGATCTGAAAATTGTTTTGTCACGCTTGACAAAATTGTCTTGACGGGGGAGGGGGTGATTATTCGATGGGTTTTTAATCCTTCTGACGGAAATTCGCAAATTTTTTTTTTCTATTATTGGAACCACGGGATCTGTGAGGCAAATTCTTGCCATTTTCATATCTGTGGTTCCTGTTTTCCAAGATTTAATGCGCACCTTGTCTTCGCTTTGCTTCGAAAAAGTGTCTGCCTCGTGTTGACTGTGATATGTGGATGGTTATGATGTATTTTGATGACGAATGAGTGTATGCTTTCGCTTGGATGATTCTTCGAGCAATATGTGGTTTTTCGATTGGACGGTATTTGTGTATTAAAATCTGAATGCCCGAGACGTCGAGTATACTTTTCTTTCGGTTTCAATGGAAAAACGGCGCATAGCGCTTGGAAAGGCGTCCATTGGCCTCAGATGTATAAAGGAATGCAATTTTTATAAATTTTTGTGACCAAAATTGAAAAATTATTCACTTCACTGTGAAATATTGAAAAGTGGAGGTAATCACTGGATAGCTGTTATAATTTACTGTTCAGTATACAAACCAGTGATATTGTACTGAAAATTATGTATGTGGACTCTCACAATAACCAAAATCAAGGGACCAGGAGGAAATCTGTTGTACAGAGAAAATCATTGTGGACAAGATTGTTGTTGAGAGAGAATACATGCATAGAGTTTTAAATATGAAATCATAAAGTTATATCAGGTTTTCCTGGCCCTAGAATATTGTAGGAGCCATTTTTTCAAACCCAAGTAGTGTTTGAAATAAAGCACTGCGTGTACTGTATGTTCATTAAAATCTTGTTCCAAATAATCTGCTGGGACCTGGAGATGGACATCTCATTAGTATGAATAATTTGTTATAAAGCTATTCAAACGTTATGGCTTCTGGGATGGGGCCTGAAAAAAGATTTCTTTGTTTATGAGATTTGACAATTTAGAAAGCACATCCTGTACATGGATACATTGGCATTGGAGATAAATCCTCTTTTTTGAAATGTGAGGAATCAAGGTGTTCCTCGCTCTTTTCTATGCATTACTGTAAGCAAGTGTATCACGGTATTTCTTGAGTAGCTTCATGCCCTCAATTGAAACCAGAAAATAATGCTAACAATGTCTGAGGAGAATGTTGCACTTCATTTACCCTGCAGGCTGTGTTCTTTACATCGGGCTTTTTGCCAATTTCCACCTGAATGGGAGGACGGTAACTTTTTCCGATGGTCTGAAAATGAAGAACCCTGCATTGCATTCCCGACACTTCTGGTAAATATGGAGTGAAGAAAACCGAGCGGAATGGGTTCGAAGTACAGTACGTGTACTTTAGTGAACAGATTTTCCAGCTACTGTATATACTGTACTGTCTATTTTATGGATAACAATGACATCTGTATGTCGAAAGTGCACTATTTGTCTGTTCAATCTGCCCAACGTCATTGCAGTTCATTCAAGGAATGACCATGTTTGCGGTGTTCCGCACGTTTTGGAAATATTTCCAAGTCGTTTCAGATTTACAGTTTGCTTAGCAAGAATTTTAGTGCAAAGAATTTAATGTGAGTCAAAGAGTTACTTTTTAAGGTTTGGGATTATTGCGCGTGACGTGAAGAAATTTCTTCACATCCATTTTGTTGAAAACGTGTCTGCTTCGGATGAATGAAATGTGCTGATGTACTGAATGTTGCTTTCGAAAAAGGAGCATTTTTGGTGCCCGATAGGGTTGTGATTTTCGGAGATGAGTCGAAGTGTTGAGCTGGAAGAGATCGTCTACACCTTTGCGAAAGACCCGCGGTTGATAACGCACGCATTGCAACCTAACGCGCAGCCTGATCTTCAAGACGTCGTCCTGAAAACGTTAGCTGCCGACGCTGACGAGAAGGGCAATTGGAGTTCTATTCTGGAAATCCCCGGGATCGTTAAACTTTGTGTCGATCTTATCGCATCAAGTGCGACTGATCAAGTGATTAAACGCATTCTTCAATTGTTCTTAAACGTGTCAGCCGATGAAAAGGCCGTTTCGAAACTTTACGCGGATCCGGAATTTAAACCTTTGATCCACCGGATAGCACGCATGGTCGCTGATCCCGATTGCAAATTCGCGGATTTAGCAGTGTCGGTATTAGTGAATGCGTCTCGAGCAGAGCGGGATTGTTCTGGTTTACTCACGTTATTTGGCGATGCCGTGACATTACCGCAATTGCTCGAGGCTTTCTCTAAGCCGCAGTACAATCGTGAAGGACAGTCCTTGCATTTACTTGCTCACGTTTTCGGTAACTTGACTCAACTGGAAGCTGTTCAAGATTTCTTCGTCGCATCAGAAAAACGCTGGATTTTCAAATTGCTCCCGTTCTTGAGTTTTGAAGATTCTCTTGATAGACGCCTCGGTTGCGCTGCTGCCCTGAAAAATTGTTGTTTTAAAATAAAAAATCACGAGTTCATACTTTCTGAGAGTGAATCTGAAGACATATTGCCGCATATTCTACTTCCTCTCGCTGGTCCCGAAACATTTGACGACGAAGAAAACGACTCTTTACCACTGGATCTTCAATTTCTTCCCGACTCGAAAGTCCGTGAATCGAATCCAGTTGTTCGAAGACTTCTTTTGGAAGCACTGCTTCTTCTGTGCGTCACTAAGGTAGCTAGGGAAACTCTACGGAGGCGCGGTGTTTATTACATCCTCCGTGAATACCACAAGTGGGAACTTGTACCTGTCGTGAAAGCCAAGCTGGAGTCAGTTATTCACATTCTTATCCGAACTGAAGACGAAATCGGAACAGACAACTTGTCGCACCTTGAGATTCCTGATCATCTCGTCGATGCCTTAGACAAGGAACATGAAGAGGAAGCGAAAGAACTTGTGGAGTCGGAAAGCGTGGAGTCATCAACCAAAAACGTGCCGTAGGTCCGGCGGTGTTGAGTTTGATATGATAAAACAATGCGATTATTTTTGTGGAAATTGTTTTGATTCAACAGTGAATATTACCGGTGATTTTATTTCTTCGCAGAGTGGATTGTTGCGATCGCCTGGTTCTCTCTGGGATGAAAGCTTCGCGTATTTGAGTTATTTTTTCCCCCGGTTCAGTGTTGACTCATGAGACGATCGTGGCTGCCGGAAGAGTACATTGGTGCTGCTTTGATCCCTAGTCCTGCGTCGAAATCTCGGTTAAGAACAATGGCGAGCAACAGATCGCAATCTCGTGAGTGCAGTTCTCGTATTTTGTTCATGTGTCAATTTTTAAGATAGAGGTAGTTTCGGGTATCAGGTGGATTCCATTTATCTCATGTAAGAAATTCATTGTGTATTTTAGGGGCATTTCTTGATATTTTAGCTTTTTTGCATTGATGGTCAATAACATTAGTGAAAATCCCGATCGAAGAACGTAAATAAGCCACAATGAAATTAAACACAGGCAATAAGATATTTTGTGGCATGTCTTCAAGGAGACACCTTGAATACACGTTGCTATTTTTTGTCATAAAATTCATTTATTTTTGTTTGAAATAAATATTTCAAGATGTATCGCAATTGACAACAAAGCAAGAATATTCATCGTTGTAAAAAGGAACACAAACGGAGTACTTTAAAAGTGGAAGAAGGAATTTGTGCACAAATTCAATAAGTGGATATTTAAAAGTGGAGAGAAAAATCGGATTAAAAGAATTGTGTTACTCTGCTGAAAGTGAAATGTGCTAAGAAAATTTGAATTTAGCAGAGAAAATAACAGCGAAGAATCGACATGATTAGAACACTTTTGTCCTTGGAACCTGATTTCTGAAAAATAGTTTCCTCATTACACTGTGCTTCGAATATTTTTAACTTTTGAACTTTCTGATGCTGTAATTCGTAAAAGAAATAATGCGAATGTGACCTAGTACCCTCGCAGAAACAAGGTTAACTTTTTTCTCTCTTCTCCCCCTTTCAACCGTAAATAAAATTTCGAAATTTCAAACCATGGCGAGGAGATCGTTCCTGAAATGAAGTACTGTACTGTATTGTACTTCATTTCGTGAAGCTCGCGGGAAGTTGGCCAGGCGTCGCAAGATCAATCCACAGCCAAAACTGGACGAGCTCGAAGAACAAGTCTTTTATCTGAGTCTCGCGGATTCTGATGAAGAAAATCTCGGAGGATCCCGTGTGACGCAGAGGAAGAAGAAGACTGTGACGGAGGAGAATCCAAATGAAACCACGTTTGATAGTCACCCGATTCAAACACGGCAAAAGGAAAACCTGGAATTCAAAACTTGCCAAGAAGACTCGTTCCACCCAGTTATGGAGAGCACACGCATGTCTCACATTCTGACTGACGCTAATCGCGGGTTTGATACGATTTTTCTTTCATGATTTTACGGTGCTTGTGTTACACGGTACTTTTATTTTTTCTCTACTTGCAGAAATTTGATTCCACCTGGAGCATCTTCCGTCAGCTCGATTCAGAAAAAAGAGTCGAGAGCTCGAATTTCCATTTCCTCTGACACTTCCTGCGAGTCTGTAAATCCGAATCGTTACTGTGAAGTATTTCCGATCAAGGAAGGCCTGAGTCCAAGATTTAGTCGCTCAAAAAATCTGAAATCTCCCGTGATTATCTTGGAAACGTCGTCATCGGAGGAAGAGGAAGAAGAGTTAATCCCTGGTTCACCACTACATCGCACTGCGGTGTGTAAAAATTTCAGGGCGCCCAATTTTCTTGTAGCACCCATGCATGTAAAGTCAAATTTCATGGGACCAGCAAAGAATTCAGGTTAGGGAAACGAGTGTTCTTGTGGGAAAGAAAGAGAAATTACAGGAAATTGCAGTTGATGATGCTGTATCTTGGGCCTTAAATTGCTTATAAAATGAGGTGGCACAATGCGGAACTTGAAGACTGGGGTTCATTAGTCCGATTAATCTTTCATTTCCTTTCAAAATATAGTACCTCGTTACATTGTTCATGATTTTTTTCTCTCCTGTGTCTACAAAATAATGGCCAAAAAGTCATCAGAAAATTCAAGTTATAGGGGTTTGAGAAAGAAAGCCTTCGAATTAAGGAGGTCCTTAATGCATTGTTGCTAAGGAAATTGGGAGAGGGACTCGAAAAAAAGTCCTCCTGCGGAGTTTCAAGTTATCGAAGGTTCAATTAAAAAAATTTTTTTCAAATAAACGATACTAATACTTTACTGGGAGGTGAATAATTCGTAATTCATGTGATTTTCCCAATTATACGTAAAATTCCGAAAATCGTCATTAGTTGTGAAATTGCATTCAATTCGATTATTGACACACGGACATTTAGTCGATCTTTTGACAATGAACTGGGCTTCAAAAGCCTTGATTTTTATTTCGTATTAAATTACAGATCAAACTCAAGACACCAGCGAAAAGGACAATTTCGTTGTCTTCATCATCCTCGTCCGAGGCGGAAGAAATTCAGCCCCAGGCCTTATTTCCCGAAATATCTGAATTGGAATCCGAACCTGTGGAAGTGAATTCTTTCGCGCCCGGATTGAGTCGTTTGCACGAACTGGAGTCGCAGAAACATGGAAGAGTCGATGAATGGGTTCTTCAGAATACCAAGAACTTCCGGAGGACAAGCAGTTCCAGCACTTTGGCGACTTTCCGAGAGTTTGTTGAGAATGATGATGAGGAGTCGACTAGTGTTCAGATGAAGCCCGGAAGGAAATCCACGTGCGTCTTTCGAAAATGAAAAAAGTTGTTTCTCAGTACTGAATGAAATATATCATGCATTTGTAGGCAATGTGGAGAAAACGACGATGACCCAGGAAGAACTGTTGAGTGCTCCACTGATGAGGATGAAGCTGACAAACGATTGGAAGAAAGTGAGTTTTCGTAAACTACGGTATCAACTCAAGTACCACACGCACCCTTTTTCTCAAAATTGAGAGGAGAAAAGGGGCTGCACTTGATGGGCGGGGATAACATTTTCAAAAATTTTTAGAAGTTCACGTGTGTGTCACACTTGAATATAATGGGGCATTTTTGATAGGGACTTCTCAAAAATCAAAACAATTCTAAATTGAGTGAATTCTGGATAAATTCATGTCCAAATTTGGATTCTGGCATCTTTGATTTTCGAAATATTGCGGGTGCGCGTCTTACTCGGAGATAGAAATTCATCGAAATTCAAGGCTGAAAAATCGTTGTGCGGGTCTTACTAGAGGGCGCGTGGTAATTGAGTAAATAGGTATTTTAATCGAAAAAGTATTTTAATTAATTTTGCTGTTTTTTTTTTAGTGTTCAAAACGACGAGGACTCAGCTGAACAAAACCAGAAGGAAAAAGGAAGCATCAGTAGAGAGCCTGGACAATTTTATCGTTCCTGATGAAGGAGTTTCCAGCACTGAAGACGATTATGTTCAACCGCCCTCAGACCTGACAGACGTGTCTGTTGCTGAACAAGTTTTATGGAGGCAACCAGTTTTGATACCGGACAGTCCTGAACCAAGGTAAGAAAATGCTGCTTCATTATAGTGTCTTCCAAGTTTTTCGTCATCAAACCCTCGAGTGTCGTCATGTAGGGATACCATCTGCAGGAAGTCATCATCCCTCTTTCTGCATGAAGTGTTTCATGAAAATACAGTAAACTCTCGTTAACACCTTTGAAATAGCTTGGTTGTAGCAAAAAAATCCATTATAAAGTAACTCTTTTAAGATTTGGCAAGGACCGGCAAAAATTTTCTCTGTAAACGATTATTTGTTGTAAGAAGTATTCGTTCTAGCGAGATTTTTATGTGGAACATGTGCAGTGATTGACGTTAATTTTCCAGTCCAAAATTAGTTACCCCATTTCCTAACTTGTAAATTGGTACAGGTGGTACCCCGCAATTTGACCCCAATCCATTACCAGACTAGGGTTGAATTGCAAAGCGGTCAAATTGCAAGACACTGTGTTGAATTAAGAAGCAGCAGCAAAAAATACTACAAAAGTAGCTGAAGGAGGTTAAAGTGTAATGAAGAGGTCAAATTTTGAGTATCCCAGCAAATTTGACCTTCAAATTTCAGGACGGTTGAACTGCTGGAGGTCAAATAGAGAGGTACCACCTGTAATTCTCTCTTGCTCTGCTTGATTTTAACCTAGTTATGCTGAAAGTAGAAACATTGTTAATGAAATTATTGAGTACTGTATATATATATTTGTATATGAATATATTGAGTATTGATTACATGTTCTGTTTTGTTGTACATTTCAGTACTTCCATCTGTCGCTTTCCTTCTGTTCAAGGCTCATGAAACTTATAAATTGAGCCTCGTGTGTTCAAGGACAGTACTTCAGAAGATCAGACAGTGGTATTCACACAAAGAGCTTTGTTAATGAGCTAGACAAAAAAAAAAGTGCCGAGAGTACGAACTGATTTATTTTGTTCAAATGCATTTTTCTGGCTTTTATGTTTTATTATATTTTTCTGTATTGGGAACTTATTCCAGTATTCCTGTCTAATAAATAATGAATTCTGCGCTTTGAGATTTAATTGTATTGCTATTACTGTACATTGTTAGCTTTGAAGGATTCCTTTTGATTATGTTAAGTGTGTATTTCAAATGAATTCGAACTGTAGAAATAAAGAGCGAAATTTCTGTCATGCTTTTAACTAACGAATTTCGTTTTCATCCTTTCTAGCCCAGTTTTTGCAACGCCAAGAAATGTCAAGAAGGGGTCAACAACAAGTTCTAGTGTTGCAACATCGTCTACGCGTTCGAAAAGATTGGGATCTGTCGCTAAGAAAACGCTTCTTGATGAAGTGTCCTCTACCAATTTCACTTCCATGAGGGACTGCATCAAAATTAGTTACCCCATTTCCTAACTTGTAAATTGGTACAGGTGGTACCCCGCAATTTGACCCCAATCCATTACCAGACTAGGGTTGAATTGCAAAGCGGTCAAATTGCAAGACACTGTGTTGAATCAAGAAGCAGCAGCAAAAAATACTACAAAAGTAGCTGAAGGAGGTTAAAGTGCAATGAAGAGGTCAAATTTTGAGTATCCCAGCAAATTTGACCTTCAAATTTCAGGACGGTTGAACTGCTGGAGGTCAAATAGAGAGGTACCACCTGTATTTCTCTCTTGCTCTGCTTGATTTTAACCTAGTTATGCTGAAAGAAGAAACATTGTTAATGAAATTATTGAGTACTGTATATATATATATTTGTATATGAATATATTGAGTATTGATTACATGTTCTGTTTTGTTGTACATTTCAGTACTTTCTTCTGTCGCTTTCCTTCTGTTCAAGGCTCATGAAACTTATAAATTGAGCCTCGTGTGTTCAAGGACAGTACTTCAGAAGATCAGACAGTGGTATTCACACAAAGAGCTTTGTTAATGAGCTAGACAAAACAAAAAGTGTCGAGAGTACAAACTGCTTGATTTTCTTCAAATGCATTTCTGGCTTTTATGTTTTATTATATTTTTCTGTATTGGGAACTTATTCCAGTATTCCTGTCTCCTGTCTAATAAATAATGAATTCTGCGCTTTGAGATTTAATGGTATTGGTAATACATTGTTAGCTTTGAAGGATTCCTTTTGATGATGTTAAGTGTGTCTAAAGCGGTATTTCAAATGAATTCGAACTGTAGAAATAAAGCGCGAAATTTCTGTCATGCTTTTAACTAACTAATTTCGTTTTCATCCTTTTTAGCCCAGTTTTTGCAACGCCAAGAAATGTCAAAAAGGGGTCAACAACAAGTTCTAGTGTTGCAACATCGTCTACGCGTTCGAAAAGATTGGGATCTGTCGCTAAGAAAACGCTTCTTGATGAAGTGTCCTCTACCAATTTCACTTCCATGAGGGACTGCATAAGGGGTCAACAACAAGTTCTAGTGTTGCAACATCGTCTACGCGTTCGAAAAGATTGGGATCTGTCGCTAAGAAAACGCTTCTTGATGAAGTGTCCTCTACCAATTTCACTTCCATGAGGGACTGCAAATATTTCCTTGGTGCTTTGGATGAAGGTACTGTACTTCCCTGAGTGTCCCGCAATGCGATGAAAATGTGCTGACTTTTTGTTGTTGTTCGGTGTTCAGATGCGGATAACTTCCGGTTGGAAATGGTCCAGTTGGCTGAGAAGTGCAAGGCAAATTTCAAGCATGTGCGAGAGCCTTTAACTCGTTTGCTGTTCAACATTTTCAACCTTCATTGTTTTGAACAAAAGGTAATGTATTTCGAACGTTTTTCGGTCCACATCTTTCTTTTTTTTTGTTTGGGCCCCCTTGTGTGTTGGAGTCTTGGTATTGTTTGCATGAGGTTTTGAAACTGAATATGAAACGTCAGTTGCCAGACACGACGGAGATAATTTGGAACGCGAGGATGGTGAAAACTGCAGGATTCTGCGTGTACAAAATCAAACGATTCATGCCTGATGCGAATGGACATTGCAAACCCTCGGACAGATTCGTGAAGATTGAATTATCCGGTAAAGTGTTGGACTCTGCTGATCGACTCAGAGACACTTTAGCGCATGAGATGTGTCATGCTGCTTCTTGGATCATTTCCGAGTGCAACCCTCCTGTGCCCGGACACACCTTCTCTACCAAACACAAACTTACTTTAGTTAGAACTTTTAAAAGGCTATATATATATAATAAAAAACCGTAATGTCCTGTTTTGCTCACCGGTAACATAAAAGGTTCATTCCTCTGATCACGACGAAGCACACTTATGAGATCAAAACGAAATTCACCTACAGGTGTATAAGTTGTGGCTACAGGTAAGCTCAGTGCATCGCAAGAGGAATTTGCGATAGTGGATTGGAAAATGTTGTCGGCCTCATCGAAATTATTTTTAGGGCATCATTTCAACCCTTTTCTTCTTCGTTCAAAATTTTATTACAGTAAATTTTTACCCTGGTTGAAATCGATGATAAGCCAGTGCTTTTCCAGTGCAACGCATTTCTGGGAGAAAGATTTTTCTGTATTATTCGGTATTCTTTTTTTTATTTGCATGTAGATTGTAGTTCTGCCATATACATTAAAATAACATCACAATAAAGTTGGATATGCTGCATCCTTTGTTGTAACGAGTTTTTAAAATGAATTAATGGATTTATTTCACATCAGTTATGTCTATAATCAATTGGATATTGGTTTTTCTGGCATTCACAGATTTATAAAAAAAAACTGCGTGATCTTATGAAAAAAGTTTAGTTTCAATCATGAATTCCATCAGTGATGATGGAATTCATCATCCGGATTGACATCAAACAGCTCTAAAATGAAGTTGGTTGATTGGGTAGAGTGAGAGGAAAATTTTTCGTAAATCCGAGGAATCCGTTTCACTCCATGGGATTTATTTTTGAAAGAATTCCTCATGCTTCCTTTCAATCGATTGATGACATGAACGGTAACTTTTACAAACTTTTGTAAAGACAAAAAATGTTAGTCAAAACCGTCTGTGAGCTTTAGGAACCTGGACCTCGCCTTCGCAACACCTGTGACAGTACCAGCGATTGAGCTGCTCGTGAACGGCAAACCAACTGCTGCATCGGTGGCGTCTGCGTCGTCAGCACCTTCTCATTTGACGAAATTTGCAGCATTTGTGCAGGAAAATTTCAGATCCGTCAAAGCCACGCAAGGTGCTGGGAAATCGCATGCTGAGGTCATGGGAATCCTGTCGGCACGATTTGCCGCTTTGAAGTTGATCTCAAAAAATTGATTGCCTCTTGTTTTTTCCCCCTTTTCAACATTTTTGTATACACGGGTATTCGTTTCGTGCTTGTTCTGACTTTTTTTTTTAACCTTCGGTGTGAGGTTTGAACAAATAATGTTTTGAGCATTTGAGGTTACTTTTTTTTCCTGGAACGATTGAGAATCAAATAAGGCGAACCTCTTATCTCCCTCAATAATTTTTAGAATCTTTTTTTTCGTTATGGTGGAAAATGAAACCGAGAATGAAGCGGAAACTTCTTGAAATAGAAGATAATTTTGAAGCTGGTCCATCTCATTCTGAATATACGTCTGCGCATCCGTCCGTCAAGTCGCCGTCGAAAGTTCGGAGTTCTACTTCTTCGGAGGTAATTCCTGAATATTTTTCGTGCCATTTAAAATATGCTAATACTGTGAATCGTTTTCAGGAAAGGTTCGATGATGGCTCACAATCGAAAAGGGCAAAAGTTGAAGACCCATTAGAAAATGCAAAATTGCTTCACCTTGAAGAAATATGCGAGGAAATAAATCCACGTCCACGAAAAGCGAGAAAAGCCCAGCAGCGTCTGTCGCAACGAGAAAGTCGGAATTTTTCGCCAACCAAGGAAGGTTTGGAGAATCTATTTCAAGCCTGTAATTCAGCTCAAAACTATGACGCTGACCACTTCTTGAGCAAAGTGCCGAAAATCGGCGGATTTTCAATTTTGGATCAATTTCGGCTGCCCGCAATCAGGCTTTTTACCATTGCTGCAAACGCTTTGCGAAGGAGAGATTTGCGCAATCTGAGGCTCTTGCTGAATACATTGACGAATAAGTGGAACTACTCGTCGGGCAGGGCCACTGATATGATCTTCTACATCTCTCAGTAAGTTCTTTTTTTTGTGTCCGTGTTTATTGATGCTCTCCCCAGTCATTTTATATTTTTATGCGCTGTTGATTGAACCACAAATCAGCTTGCATGCTTGTGAACTATCCAAACTCAACCTTGTGATAAATTAAACTGCCCAAGCTGACACAGGATCAATCTAATGTATAAAAGTATAATTGATGGGGATGTATAAATGAATACAAATTAACCCAGTGCATCTTAAAGCTTTGACAAGTGCATGACATACTGTATATCCTTGAATACCACATGTTCTGGTTTAAGATGTGCACATGGTTTTTTGATCCAAAAATTTGGATAATTATACTCTATGCTGTATGCCCAAGTAAGACACACAACCCATTTTTAGCAACTGAAAATTGCAATATTTTGAAAGTACTCTGGAACGCATCAGAATACATATTTAGACTTGAATTTTACCAAAATACAGGATGATGTTAATTCAACAGTTTCCCTTTTCTAAAAATCGATTGTCATAATTGGTCTTAAATTCCCTGTCATAATCAAGTATGATGCGCACCAAAGGTTTTGAATTTACAGTATCAAAACTGTGAAAAATTTCATGACTGCTTATGATGCGCACCCTCTTTTTCCTGTTAGTTTAAAGAAGTGTGCAAGGTACTTGAATGGTATATCAGATTCAGCAATTGGTGGTTTAAAGTCACCAGACCAGATACTGTACAGTAGATGAATAATATTTATACTGTATTCACAAAAGTACTACAATGCATTTTTTCCAAGAAACTTGGACAAAAGATGAAGTGTGCGTCATGGTTGGGTACAAATTTCCAGGTGACAATTTTTAAAATTGTTACCCAATTTCAAAGTTTTTCCTCAAGTTTTCTTGTCTAATAATTCTATGATTTTGCCTGAGACAAAAACATCAACAGTGAATTTAACTTTTAAGTAGATTTTCACTCCGTGTATTTTTTTAAATATGAATTTTGTGAGTGACAATTAAGGTGTATGTCTTATGAAGGGATGGACTTTTTCCAAAAATGCGAGCTAAAAACAAACTATGGTGCGAGTCTTAGTTGAGGGTATGTGGTACTCAATTTAATCCAGTACCTAATCTAGGCAGACCTTTTTGGCCTGAGCTAACTTAATCATGGCACCTTGGATGTGGGTTGACTCCTGCAAAGAAGAAAGGGACGAATCCTTGTTATATGTTGGAAAAGACAAAAGAAAAACTGAAGTTGCGAGTGCAGTAAATTTGAAGTTATATTTCTTATTCACGGCATACCATGGAGTGCATACGCAGATGGGGATACTATTTTTGCGAGACGTCCAGGGGGTTCACACTTCGGTAGTCGAAGACGTCTAGGAATATACATATATTATTTTTTACGCTTACCACACTTTTTAGTGGCGGGTTCTGCGCAGGGATCAGCTGTTGTTGCAGCACAATCATCTGCTGTAGTAGCGCAAGCATCAGCTGTTGTAGCGCAAGCATCAGCTGTTGTAGCGCAAGCATCAGCTGTTGTAGCGCAAGCATCAGCTGTTGTAGCGCAAGGATCTTCTGTAGGTGGGGCACAAGTCGGTTTGTCCTTGCAATCTTTGCAGGAGAAGAGTCGCTGGAAAAATAGGTGCAAGTCGGATAGTCAGCAACCCGCAGGTGGGCAGCAGGCCTCGTTTGCGGGCGCCTTGCCCGCCTGGCGTTTCTTGATGCGCACGAATTTCCTGCGTCCTTGGGACGAAGCTGGCCTTAATGCGTCCCTTTGTTCCGCGAAGCTTGGATTATTGGCTTGTCCCGGTTCCCACTTGACGAAGTTGAGCACTTCCATTTTTATTTGCTTTTTGGATTTCGGCGATTCTGGAAATTGCAAAAAATAAAACAAAAAAATGTAGCAGCTCGATGCTGATGAAATCGAGAGACTTACGGATGTCGACTGAATCTGCCCACGACCAATGGATGAAGAAGAAAATCAGAACGGCACTTGCGCAGAATTTCAGCATGTTGTAGGAGGTTTTTTCTTTTTTTTTCGTTCTCGGAGGGTAATTCTTGACAGGTGGTTCGGACGCTTGTTCAGATTTCTCTGACTTGTGCCAAAGTGTTGTGGGAGCTCGTATTTATCTCCTTCAGAGGTAATAGATTAGTGTGGGAACAGATGATTTTATCAACTAGGAAGTTAGGGAGCTGGAAGAGGAAAAATTATTGACCTAATCATCTTTTCTTGAGTCTCCTGGTTTTATTTTTCTGTTTTTCCCATGTTGTATTTCGGTTCCACACGAAGAATGGAAAATTCGCTGACAAACTTCTTGACTTTCAAAATGTTCCAAAAATAGTATAATGCCGAGTGTGAGATGCATGTCGTCCTGAACTCTTTGGTGATACACCAAAACAGGTTTTTTGAGTTACTCGGTAGTGAAAAATGTAAAACCCAAATTACTGTATTTACTCAAGTACCACGCATGCTTGAGTCAAACAAAAATCCCAATTTTTCACCCTAAAATTTGCACGTACTGTAATCCTGTCCCCAAGTATGCATATTTCATCTTTAGTGAATGAATGAAAAACTACAATATTTCAATAATAAGAGTCACCAGAATCCAAATTCTAACGTAACTTCAACTAATTTTCAATTATTTTGATTTTGAAAAATGCTGGTCAAGAATGTCTCATTATACTCTATTTATTTGAGATGCACACCGAAACTTCTAACATTTTTTGAAAATTTGTTTGACAAGCACCCCCTTTTTCCTTTCAATTTTGAGAAAAGAGTTATGTGTGGTACTTGAGTAAATACTGTGCTCATACTTCTCCTTTGTCTGCAACATGGGCTAGTTTTTTTCCTTGTGGGTAGATGTCACTGACTGTTCAGTCAGCATTTCCAATTTCAAATGCGTCATCAGAAGTTTCTCATGTATACACTTAGACTGCTAATATTTTATCAGATCAAGGACAATAATTTATATGAAATTTACTCTTATGCTTCAAGCAATTCTGATCTAACCTCCTCTGTGTATTTTCTGCCAATTTTATTGCAATTCTCTGTGCATCTCACGCAAGATGTGAATTCTACAAAACTGTTTGATGCATGATGCCCTTTTTACAGCATAGTATATGAGCTGTGTTTACAATGTGTTTCAGGTATTTGTACCTCAGAGACGGATTTGATACGGTGGCGAATGATCTCCTGATCTTGGGCTCGATGAAAAATACTCAACAAGCCAGGTATTACTTGGTGGAAGCTGCCAGGCAGTATTTAACTAATGACTCTCCGGAATCTGCACAAGCGGCACTGCTGAAATTCATGAGTTATGAAAAGTTGCTTCATGACTCTTCAACGATCCGATCCGAGGCTGCCGTGTTGAGATTGATTACAGCTGCTAAACTGCTGATAAAGTTTAAAAGCGGGTTTCCGGGTAAGTTTACGCTTTTGAAATTGGGTGAAAAGTGTTGTTCAATTTTGAGGCGTCTTAATCCAACCAGCATTTTTTGCGCTCTTCAGAAAATAATATTTAATGTCACGAAATCTGATTCAGACTTTTTTTCGTTGAACTTTTAGGCATGGTGGCGTCAGATGTCAGAGTTTTGTTGGATCGGACGAGTGGAACCATCAGTTCTCAATCTTCCGACAATAGACAAAGTTCGCTACGTACGTTTGAGGACTGTTTCGATATTGATGAAGCTGAGTCTTTGGAGGATGCCATGAAAGACCTGATTTTATCTTTTGCCAAGAGTCCCGAGGAATTCCCTGGAGCACCGTTTGATTCTGTTGTTCACGTGGCACTGAACTATTCATCCGAAAGTGAGCTTAGATTTTATTACTGAATTTAAATGTGGGTATGTTCAATTTAATTTGACGAGCATCCCTCAATGAAAAAGTGTTCTGATACAGTCGTACTTTGAGGGACCAGCAAAACACGTAGAATTTGAGAGGTTTCGAGTGGGGGAAGCAAGCATTTTTTTTTTAGAGAGAAAAAGATGCCGGAAATAGTAATTGGTGATATTCTGGGTCTTGCATTGCTTTTTGAATGAGTTGACAGGATCCTGAAGTTGAAGGGAAGCATTCATTTGCCCAATTATTCTTTCACTTCCTTTCAAAATGCGTCAAGTTACAATTTTATTGCTTTCTCTTTCCTGTATAAATAAAATGATGGGCAAAATGCCTCCAGAAAATTCGAATTTTAGAATTTTGAGGAGAAAACCTTCGTGTTGGGGAAATTTTTAATGCATTGTATTCACTAGGATTCAAACAAATATTTGACCTTGAGAGGTATTCAACTTCAAAAGGTTCTAATTATGGAAGATTAAACTGTATCAGGAATTTTCTGTAAGTGATGATTAGCGTGAAAGATGCCATCAATGCCAATTAGAATTATTTTTATTTCTGTTGAAGTGGTTTTATTTGAAAAATTGGTTGTCTTCGCACAATTTAAGAACCACCCCGTAATTAATCAATAAAATTACATGAAAGAAATTTTGAAGCTCTTCTATCTTGTGAAATTGTACGTTTGCAACTTTTCCGCAGATCTGATTGGACCTCTAATGAAGCTGTGCGCTAAAGGATTACTTTCCTGTCACTCCATGCTTGCTATGAGGCGGAAAGCTGAAGAATACGCGCTTGAAAACCCGGAAGAAGCCCAGGAACAAGTGGAAAATCTTACGTCGTACATCAACAACTCGTGCCCTTTGGAACCATTCACTATTACAGACGTTGACCAGGCTTTGATGGATTGTGGTTGGGACCCGAGTGATGAAGTTCGAGCTGAGCGAAATTTTTCTGTGATAATTCAACACATGATTCATCTGACGCAAGATGGCAACAAGCAAGCGTGGCGTCGATTCTGGACCCAGGTGTTGGAGTTCAGGGATTTGTTGGAAAGCGAGTATTTTGGGAAATTCCAGGGCAGTGTTTTTAAACTGGAGTGTGTGATGAAGCGTGGGAATGTGGAGAAGACGGGAGCCGTGAAGAAATTCTGGAAGTTCTTCAAAACCGACGAGCTCTGCTTTCAGAGCTTGGATCACGCTGAAAATAAGTTTGGGAAACTGAAGAAGCGGCATCGCGAGAAGCTCGCTTTGTTGCTGGAAAAGAAGGAATGACTTCTTGTGTTGAAGATTTTTGTTTTTGGGTTATATCGAGTCCGAGTTACTACCTGGCGATGTTCGAAAATGTTTTCGAGAAGCATATCTTGATGGAAAAAGTGTCAGGATTGAAATTTCTATTTTCTTTTTGTGAGAGGTTTAAAAAGATTTTATTTCTTGCAGGAAAAATGGTGTGAATGGCCTTGGTTGCGATGTGAGTGTGTTTTTTTCTAAAAATTTGTGATACACGTGGAAGAAGATGCCGTTGAAGCTGAAGTTGAGAAAAAGCCGGCAATACAATGTTTCCACCAAGTCTTTGTACGTGTTGACTGTCGAGCTGCTTGATGGCAGCACAATTGACTGCACGCTGACTGCCGACAGTACTGGTAATGTCGACAACTTCTGTTTTTGTTTTTTGTTTTGGTTCTACTGCAGTAATGGTGATCCTGGCTTTGATGTGCGGTTTTAATGGGTAATTTAAACAATAACTGTCTTGAGTGCTGAGCATAATTGACAAACAACTGTATTCATTCAAATATAATGCGTCTGAGTGGGGAGCTATTCTTTGTGTGACCCCACAACTGGTGCACACTGGGGTCAAAACTGGTGGTGTACATGGGCTATTCCAGGGTTACAAGCATGCACCTCTGTAAATAAAATTTTGCTATCATTCCAGGGCTACATTTGGTGCTCAAATGTGACATAAATGGAGTATCACACAAATGCATCAACTGTAACCTTGGTGTAACTTATTTGTTACAAATGTGACCCTGAGTAACCCTGGTGTGAACACACAATTTGTACACATTAGGGATATATACATGTGCAACAGAAAAATGTTGGTACACTTCAGGTGCCCAGCAGGGTCACTGTGTGGAAATACATGCATATCCCAAGTGTGCACCATTTTCCCCACTCAGGTGGTTTTTTGGAATATTTTTGGGAAGGTATCCAATGTTCAAGGTACTGTATTCACTTGAGTAACACGCGCACCTGGATTTTCAGCGATAAATTTTGATGACATTTTTCATTTTCATCTCTAAGACACATACCCCATTTTTTAGTGACTGGAAACTGCACTATTTCGAAAAGAAGACACCAGAATTTGAATGTGGACATGAATTGAACTTGAATTCAGTTAATTTGTGATTGCTTTCATGAAAAAACTATGTTGAAAATGATCAAAAATTTCCCATTAAAATCAAGTATGACATCCTGAACTTCCAAAAAATGTTTGAAATTTTATTCGTACCAAAAAACTTGCACCCTCATTTATTCCTTTCAATTTTGAGGAAAAGGGTGCATGTGGTGCTTGAGTAAGTAGAGGTATAATTTTTTCTCAACATTTGCAATCAAAATCGGAATATGCTAATGACTGGAGAGTACGACATTTTGTATAATTTTACATTTTCAATGCAATCTTAGTTCAGTTTTTCAGCTCTGGTTTTCAAGTATTGCCTGAAATTTCTTCCAACATTTTCTGAACAACACTGATCATGCTCACAGTCCATTTTAAAATTAGCACAAAATATAACCTGCATTAAATGCAATTACTTTTCTGTTCTGTTCACTGTATTTCAAAATAGTTTAAATTGAGCCAGGAGTTGGCGAAAGGGAGTAAAACTGAGATTGAAATTGATGCAATATTTTCTTGCTAAAACAAAAGACATTCTGATTTCTGATGTTATCTTTCAACAGGAAGGGACTGTTTGGAAAACATTTGCCAAAGATTGGGTTTGCAGCAACCCGAATTCTTCGGGCTACGGTTTGAAGCTCGACGTTGCTTGCCGAGGATAAGATGGGTTGAGTTGGACAAACCCGTCAAGAAGCAGCTAGAGAAATATGGCGACGACCATAAACTTTACCTCGGAGTAATGTTTTACATCACTGATGTACATCTCATCCATGACGAGATCACAAGGTGTCTTTCAAATATTGCGAAAAGAGAAAAAAAATGAGTGTTTTGCAAGTTTTTTTTTTTTTCGGAAGGTATCAATATTTCCTTCAGCTGAAGCAAGATGTCCTGGAAGGAAAATTGGCATGCAATCAAGACCAGGCCATTTCTTTGGCAGCTTACAGTTTGCAGGCTGAGTTTGGGGACCATGACCCAGAGAGACACACACTCGAGTATTTGAAAGAGTTTGCTTTGTTGCCGAAAGGTTTGTTAGTAGAATTTTAAAATAAAAATTAATTGAATAACGGTTTTTTGTTGTTGTTCGGTTCCCTGCAGGAGAAGCAGATTTGTCTCTGATCGAGTTGGTCATGCGACATCACGTCACTCTTCAGAGCTTGTCTCCAACTTTGGCTGAAGTCTATTATATTTTAGAAGCTCAAAAGTTGGACGGTTATGGAGTGGATTTCTTCCCTGCGAAGACGGACGCTGGTCACGAATGCTTCATTGGCTCATCATTGCTTGGAATTGTGATCAGGTGAGACTGAAAAACTTGGGATAAGATTCCACTTTTCGAATGAGAACACGAACACGTTTGTTTTATATTTCGACCCCTTTTTTCAAATAAATCAAAATTAATGTAATTAATTGTTGAATTGAGGATCAATTTTCCTCCAACGTACGATTTCAACTTCGGGAGTGTCGGGAAGGTGTCGCCCGAATCGCAAACTTCGTGAAAAATGACTTCATCTGTCAACAATTCAATTAATCTGACTCAATCGTGATTCAGTGAAATCTCGGTATAACAAAATTTCGGGGACTTCAGGAGAAGTATGTTGTACTGAATAATTTGTTATGACAAGATTTTCAAAATTAATGGCATGGAATCAATTTTTATATCAGACCTGTCTATAATTAATTAGATCTTGCTTTTCTGGCATTCTCATATTTTTTCATTATCGTTTTTAAAAACTTGAGTGATCTGCCAGGGCTTGAAAAAATTGTCATTAGCTGAAAATTGTGTTTTATTGAGAACTGTGCCTGAGTACAACTTGAGAAACCAGAACAGAATTCAGGCAACACTTGAATCATGGCAAATACTAGAAGCATGGTGTTGGGGAAAATATTTGAAGCGAGAAGAATCAAGTTAATGAAGCGGCTTTTTAATTGCAGGTATTTGAACCCATCAGGTGTCCGATACTGCAGATGGTCGGATATCACGAACCTGGTGAACCAGAAGAAGGAATTTACGATTGAGTGCCAACGGGTGGAAGATTCTGCCCGGTTTGTATTTAGCGAACAAGAGCTGGCCAAGTATGTGTGGAAGACCTGCGTGTCCCAGCACTCGTTCTTCAAGGGCCAAACGGCGGCTCTGGGTCTCAGTGAAAAGGTCCTGGTTCTTTCTGCCAACGCGAATGGGCCATCTGCAGCTGCCGTTTCTCTTGACCAGGATGAGCGTTTGAATGCGGGCAATAAACATAGCCAAGCCCAGTTTTGTGAACAGGTTCGTGATGACCGTATTTACTCGAATACCAACATGTTTTCAAGCAAGGCCCGGACGCACAATTATTAAGCCTAATATTTGGATTTTAAGAAGTGTCTCCGATTAAGATGCGCACCTCATTTTTAGAGACTGAAAATTGAAATATTTCGAAAATTGAATGCATCAGAATTAAAATTTTTGGCTTGAATTGTAGTCGAGTTGAATTTTGATTTTTCGTGTTTTTAAATTTTGTGTAGAAATAGGTGAAAAATTCCCTGTTGATATCGAGTATGAAGTTCACCGAACACACGTTTGACACGTACCCTGTTTTTTTTCTCTTTCATTTTGAAAAAAAAATGTTCCCCTGGAACTCAAGTTAATTTTTTTTTAAAGAAGTAACAGTAATTTTTGAGCAAGATTAATCTGAAGAATGGTCTGAATCATTACTACAACCTACCGATTTTCGTTTATACAGTAATCATCTGAAAAATGCTTTTTCTGTCTTAAAAGATGTATTTAAAAATTAAAAATTTAATCCCTCTGTTGTGGACAAAGGTTTTCACAGAATAACATGAATAATTTTTAAAGGATCTCTTTTGGAGTTTTGAAACGCATCAATCAGCATGGGCAAGGTAGGAAATCCCTTCAGGATTTCTGATTTGAAAGGATTATATATGTTTTTTTTCACGCAAAGATCTTTTGAAAACAAAACAGGTTTCTACTAAGCAGAAATCTTTACAGCTCACCCTTCACACAATGAAAGACAAACGAAGACTTTCAGGGAAAGATTGTATGATTTTAGAGGCCTGGGATTGGCCAAGAAAAACAGTATTAATCTAAGACATTTTTGTGCCGTGGAAGCTTTAAATTTGGGGATGTTATTTTCTGTTTTTTTAATTTTGTTAGTTTTTACTCTTGAATAAATTCTCAATTAACAAGGTGCGGTTGAGTTGCTCAACACCTTTTATTCTAATGTTTGATAATGTCGCGCCAATTTCGGGAAATGAAAGCTGAATCGTGTTCATTTTCTCAAAAGTATGCGAGACGAATGCCTGCATCGGGATCTCTACCAATCATCACGTCCTTGCCAGAGTCTTCGCCGCCGTCGCAACAACAGAATAATTCTTCAGCCATGATAACCTCGTCCTCTACCCTTGGGCTACAGATGCAGATGACAGGGGATGACGCGAATGGAGCTTCCACCAGTCTGGTTGCTTATCCAGGCAACCCGGGCTACATGTTTGCTCCGCCACAACAACAGATGAGGAGAGTTGATTTGCTCCCGTCTTACAGACCAGCACCAGATTACGAAACAGCTCTCAGACAGAAATATAGAGAGAGAGTTTATGAGAATGGTGTATTTGTGTCTGGACAACTTCAACAACAACAACAGCAGCAGCAACAACAACAGCAACAATTGCAACAGCAACTGCACCAGCAAAATGCTGAAAACGTGCAGCAAGTTGCCAGGTACTATTACCAACAAGGTCCTGCGCAGGGTGCTGTTCAGGCTGTCACGTCCATGGAAAATTTCCACCAGGTTGGTGCATTTACTAAACTGTGTTTACTTGAGTACCACATGTCTTTTGAGTATGACACGCAGCTCAATTTTTGTTTTAGAAATTTGTAAAAAAAAACCTGTTCTTGTGGAAGACCTGCGTGACAATTCTTTTTTGTTGCTGCTGAAAATCAAGAATTAAGAAAATAGTTGTGTGTGTGTGGGTCCATTTTTCCCCCATTGCCATTTCATCTTTCCTGAATTTTACTGTTTGCAGTAGCAGTTAAAATGTGCTTGCGGTTTATGTCAGGTTCTTTTATCACATGTGTACCCTCTCCTTCCTGATGCATCTCCAAATAATACATTCCTAAAATTTATATTGCTTGAATCACTAGTTTCAGTGGACAAGGAGACCTGGTGTTGCACATTTAATTGTCATTTTTTTCTTGGATGTTCAGTGCAATCCCAAGATTTAGACATAATTGGTGCATGGAACTTGTTCCTAAGTCAGAGCGTCTGCATTTTGGAACTTGTTTTTCCAAAAACGTCATTACAAATCTTTTCCTTTGATTCTTCTGTAGTTTTAGATGAAAAGTGAAGAAAGAGTGCCTGAAAATGAATTAAATTATTTTTTCTCAGTTTCAAGATGCAACAAATAAAAAAGTGCAGAAGAAAGCCACAAAGAATCTGAAGAGAACAAGTCTTCCTAAACTGAGAACACATGATGAGAAAAACTGAAAAAGAAGCACAAAATTAGCCTGTTCTTGATTTTAGGGTAATTTTATAGCAAAATTTGTTTTTACTAATTTTTAGCATTTAACTTAAATAGCTAAATTTGTTCAAGAAATACAAACATTTTGATAAATAAAATTTTTGTATTCCTCAAGAAATCTTGGAAAAGTGTCTGTTTCTTAGACACTGTCTGGATGTTGTTGGCAGATTTTTTTTCAGTTCCAAGTGTCCCTGAGTCAAATCATCCATATGTTGGGGTGTCCATACTTCAGGGTCTCCCTGTACTCACATATGTGTGAAGGGCACTGATTTTGGGAATTTTTTCTTGAAAAATGTATCAGCAAGTTTTCTGGCTCAATTTCTTGGGGGAAATGCTGTGTGTGGTACTTGAGTAAATACAGTACAATAGTTATCGAAAATCCATGCCAGAAATTAAACTCGTTTTTCATTTACATTTCAGGTCCCAAGTGGGCTTGGTGCAGCCTCATATCAACGCAACAGTCAGCCAGATTTTGGCCGCATAACCATGCAGATGTCAAACATGGCTTTGTATAACCGTCCATGAAGAAACCCGACAATTGCTTTTTTATTTTCCCTCACACTAAGCTGTGAATTTTGAGCTCAACTTAGAGTTTTTTGGAATTTTTTTTAATGGAAGTTGATTTCGAAAAAAGTTTAGTATGGGGGAGTGTTAATCGTTATTAAAATGATTTTTTTTTGTGGGAAAACGGAAGTATTCAGCAGGTTGTTGTAGATCTGAGAGCAGGTGTGGATTGGGATAATGTCTTCCTGGATTGTTTTTGTCTATTTGTTTTCTACTATGAAAAAAAAAGAAAGAAAAACGAGAGCGAACAGACGTTGATTTTCTTGGCAGTCGGGAATTTGTTCTTTATTGCTTATTTTCACGTTATATTTATTTTCTTTCTCGCTTCAGGGAAAAATGTCTAAAGCTCAAAAGCGAACAATTAGTTTCGGAAAAATTTCGCTGCCTTCTTCGTCTTCGGTGACTGAGGAAGTGAAAAGTGTCGCTCCTGATACCATTGGTTTCGGAAGTTTCGGGGCACCTACGAAAACTGAGAATGATGATGAAATTGACTCAACTTGGATCCAAGAAGAAGAGGACGAAGAGGAGCAGCCAGAAGAAGACAAAGCGGCTGCAGAAGAAATTGCCAAGGTCATGGGGTTTTCGGGTTTTGGCAAGGCAAAGACCTTTGATGTCGATCAGGTGTTTGAGCAGGCTAGAAAAGCTGCTCAGGGCTTGAAAAAATTGGAACCTGGGACGAGTGGTGAGAATCCTTTCAGTGTTTGGGTAATTTACAAAAATTTGCTTGAACAATGGCAAAATCAGCATTTTTGGGGGAAGTTTGTTGGCGAATTTTTGCGCGGAATCGTTTGAATCATGAAGATTCGCTAAAAAAAAAATTTTTTCAAGATTCACGTAGAAAGTGATCAATTTTTAAATGCTACTGTAGCTTCTTCAAACGCAACGATTGTATTCACGAGTGTGATGAATTTTTGAATTTTGAAAGGCTGTTTTTACTTTAATTGACGAAGTCGGAAATTTATCCGATAGACTACGAAGTAACTTTTTGGACAAGCTGTATTTTATTATCTCATCGTATTGGGATTTTCTTTAATTCTTGGTTGATTTTATTTGACAGGGATTCAAGAGTCTCAGAAAAAGTTGGCTGATATTTCGTTGACTGACGAAAATGGGGATAAAGACGACAGTGATGACGAAGATTCCTATGGACCCATGCCTCCTGCCCCGACTGTCGAAGCTTCTACATCATCCACGAAGAAACCTGAGAAAAAAAACGAAGACGATGAAGATGACGACGATGACGATGACGAGGAAGAAGAAGAAGAAGAGGTGCTAATGCGGAATTTAAAACACAGTTAAACCTTTGATAACTTAAGCTGCTCCAAGTTGGAATTTTTTTCTGGTAACTTTCTGAATTCCCTACGAAACAAAGTACTGTACTAAAAATCTCCCTAACTCGAATACTTTTCCCTTTAAACCTTCAAAATCAGATTTTCGGGAGGTCTTCCGTCTACTGTATTACTTTATTGACAAAGGATAAAAAAGCAATATAAGTGTAACTTAATATGTTTTAAAAGGAAAAGAAAAACTAATCGGGCAAGTGAACCCTTGCCTCCAAGTTTAGCATCCTGTCAACTCATTCAAGAAGCAATTTAAGGCCTAGAATATCACCAATTACAATTCTCTGTAATTTTTCTTTCTTTTCCCGCGACAAATGCTTGCTTTGTCAACTTAAATTATTTTTGCTGGTCCCATGAAGTTCGACAATAGTTGTGTTAATTTAGTCCTGCCTTAATTTGATCCTGGTAATTTTTTTCAGCTTCTAAGTGACAAGATTCCTTGGGCTGAAGACATCACCCTGAGGCATGGAACTAAGGGCGTGTCTGCGATTGCGGTGGATAATTCTGGAGCCAGGTTGACAACTGGTGGCTTGGAATACGAAGTTAGACTTTTCGATTTTGCTGGCATGAATGCTGCGTTTTTGCCCTTTCGAACACTGAAGCCGTGCGAATCGTGAGTTGTTCATTTCGATTCGACGAGAATTTTTTAAATGTTGACTAATGGTTGATTTGCTTTCCTTTTTCTTGTCCAGGCATCCAATCCTGAATCTTCAGTATTCGCACACGGGCGATCGAATTCTGGTGATCTCGGGAAGTGCTCAGGTATGACAGATCTTGGTCATGAGCAAAAAAAAAAAAAAAGAGAAAAATAATTCTGATTCAGTAATGGATTTTTAACTTGCAGCATTCGTGTCTTATATTCTTTCATTAATTTAATTTTAAAACAGTCGGGATTATTGTCTGTTTGATCTCTGCTTGATTTATTTGAATGCAGGAATATTTTTCTTTTAATTGATGCCAAATTTCGATGATTGTGCGGTTCCTTGAACTTTCATCTTTTAGTTCGGAAATTTATGGTTTGGAAATTTCTTGACCGAAATTTTCTTGCGAAGTCCGTGAAAAACATCATTATTCAGGAACAAACTTTGATTAAAAGTTATTCATTTTTTGAGATGGTACAATTTGATGAACGCTACCATTTTAATGAAATTGACTAACTTGTATTTTCGCGGTGTGTGACATTCTTTGAAGGCTTCTTGGTAGCGATATTTTTTTTTTTTTTAGGAAAACGGGTATTCTGACAAATTTTCTTTAATGATCAGGCGAAGGTGCTGGACAGAGATGGACACGAGCAACTAGAATGCGTCAAGGGCTATCAATTCATCTCAGACGTGAGCAAGACGAAAGGGCACATTGGTGGTCTAACAACCGGTTGCTGGCNTTTTTTATTTTCCCTCACACTAAGCTGTGAATTTTGAGCTCAACTTAGAGTTTTTTGGAATTTTTTTTAATGGAAGTTGATTTCGAAAAAAGTTTAGTTTGGGGGAGTGTTAATCGTTATTAAAATGATTTTTTTTTGTGGGAAAACGGAAGTATTCAGCAGGTTGTTGTAGATCTGAGAGCAGGTGTGGATTGGGATAATGTCTTCCTGGATTGTTTTTGTCTATTTGTTTTCTACTATGAAAAAAAAAGAAAGAAAAACGAGAGCGAACAGACGTTGATTTTCTTGGCAGTCGGGAATTTGTTCTTTATTGCTTATTTTCACGTTATATTTATTTTCTTTCTCGCTTCAGGGAAAAATGTCTAAAGCTCAAAAGCGAACAATTAGTTTCGGAAAAATTTCGCTGCCTTCTTCGTCTTCGGTGACTGAGGAAGTGAAAAGTGTCGCTCCTGATACCATTGGTTTCGGAAGTTTCGGGGCACCTACGAAAACTGAGAATGATGATGAAATTGACTCAACTTGGATCCAAGAAGAAGAGGACGAAGAGGAGCAGCCAGAAGAAGACAAAGCGGCTGCAGAAGAAATTGCCAAGGTCATGGGGTTTTCGGGTTTTGGCAAGGCAAAGACCTTTGATGTCGATCAGGTGTTTGAGCAGGCTAGAAAAGCTGCTCAGGGCTTGAAAAAATTGGAACCTGGGACGAGTGGTGAGAATCCTTTCAGTGTTTGGGTAATTTACAAAAATTTGCTTGAACAATGGCAAAATCAGCATTTTTGGGGGAAGTTTGTTGGCGAATTTTTGCGCGGAATCGTTTGAATCATGAAGATTCGCTAAAAAAAAAATTTTTTCAAGATTCACGTAGAAAGTGATCAATTTTTAAATGCTACTGTAGCTTCTTCAAACGCAACGATTGTATTCACGAGTGTGATGAATTTTTGAATTTTGAAAGGCTGTTTTTACTTTAATTGACGAAGTCGGAAATTTATCCGATAGACTACGAAGTAACTTTTTGGACAAGCTGTATTTTATTATCTCATCGTATTGGGATTTTCTTTAATTCTTGGTTGATTTTATTTGACAGGGATTCAAGAGTCTCAGAAAAAGTTGGCTGATATTTCGTTGACTGACGAAAATGGGGATAAAGACGACAGTGATGACGAAGATTCCTATGGACCCATGCCTCCTGCCCCGACTGTCGAAGCTTCTACATCATCCACGAAGAAACCTGAGAAAAAAAACGAAGACGATGAAGATGACGACGATGACGATGACGAGGAAGAAGAAGAAGAAGAGGTGCTAATGCGGAATTTAAAACACAGTTAAACCTTTGATAACTTAAGCTGCTCCAAGTTGGAATTTTTTTCTGGTAACTTTCTGAATTCCCTACGAAACAAAGTACTGTACTAAAAATCTCCCTAACTCGAATACTTTTCCCTTTAAACCTTCAAAATCAGATTTTCGGGAGGTCTTCCGTCTACTGTATTACTTTATTGACAAAGGATAAAAAAGCAATATAAGTGTAACTTAATATGTTTTAAAAGGAAAAGAAAAACTAATCGGGCAAGTGAACCCTTGCCTCCAAGTTTAGCATCCTGTCAACTCATTCAAGAAGCAATTTAAGGCCTAGAATATCACCAATTACAATTCTCTGTAATTTTTCTTTCTTTTCCCGCGACAAATGCTTGCTTTGTCAACTTAAATTATTTTTGCTGGTCCCATGAAGTTCGACAATAGTTGTGTTAATTTAGTCCTGCCTTAATTTGATCCTGGTAATTTTTTTCAGCTTCTAAGTGACAAGATTCCTTGGGCTGAAGACATCACCCTGAGGCATGGAACTAAGGGCGTGTCTGCGATTGCGGTGGATAATTCTGGAGCCAGGTTGACAACTGGTGGCTTGGAATACGAAGTTAGACTTTTCGATTTTGCTGGCATGAATGCTGCGTTTTTGCCCTTTCGAACACTGAAGCCGTGCGAATCGTGAGTTGTTCATTTCGATTCGACGAGAATTTTTTAAATGTTGACTAATGGTTGATTTGCTTTCCTTTTTCTTGTCCAGGCATCCAATCCTGAATCTTCAGTATTCGCACACGGGCGATCGAATTCTGGTGATCTCGGGAAGTGCTCAGGTATGACAGATCTTGGTCATGAGCAAAAAAAAAAAAAGAGAAAAATAATTCGGATTCAGTAATTGATTTTTAACTTGCAGCATGCGTGTTTTATATTCTTTCATTAATGTACTTTTAAAGCAGTCGGGATTATTGTCTGTTTGATCTCTGCTTGATTTATTTGAATGCAGGAATATTTTTCTTTTAATTGATGCCAAATTTCGATAATTGTGCAGTTCCTTGAACTTTCATCTTTTAGTTCGGAAATTTATGGTTATGAAATTTCTTGACCGAAATTTTCTTGCGAAGTCCGTGAAAAACATCATTATTCAGGAACAAACTGTGATTAAAAGTTATTCATTTTTTGAGATGGTACAATTTGATGAACGCTACCATTTTCTGTTGGACTTCATTTCATGAAATTGACTAACTTGTATTTTCGCGGTGTGTGGCATTCTTTGAAGGCTTCTTGGTAGCGATATTTTTTTTTTTTTTAGGAAAACGGGTATTCTTACAACTTTTTTTCAATGATCAGGCGAAGGTGCTGGACAGAGATGGACACGAGCAACTAGAATGCGTCAAGGGCTATCAATTCATCTCAGACGTGAGCAAGACGAAAGGGCACATTGGTGGTCTAACAACCGGTTGCTGGCTTGACATTTTTACTCTTGAAAGCCGACATTGATGGATGGTCTCCTCATTTTCTTTTTTGCAGGAAATTTATTCAGGGAAGCTGATCAACACGTTCTAGTGAACAGAATATGGGAGCAGGTCAGAGTGGCGGTGGAGCCCCGCAGGCAGTACCAGAGAAACTGATAATGCCTGTTGAAGACCCAGGGGTGAAATCAACAGGAAGTTGTCCAATTAAGGAAGGAAGTGCTGGGGAAGAGAAGAAAAAGCTGAAGCCTTGTTGTGCCTGCCCGGAGACTAAGAAAGTGCGAGACGAATGGTAAGAGCTTGATATGGATTTCATTCGATTGAACTCAACCACAACATAATTCCAAATGTAAATTCGTTGTACAGATACAATTTTAGTGAACAAGATTTTTTATGGAGACAGTCCAATTGCATTTGGTATTGCTGATGTTGAGTGTAGATCTCCTAAAAAGAGAACTTCAAATCTTGAAATTACAGTGCACATGATGTAATCTATTTGTTTCCATGCAACTATAGTAGGACTAGATCAGTTCCTCAAGTATTTATAAGATCTAGTGGCCTACAGAAAGTACAAATTGTTTATTACAATCTAATGACACTCAGTATGAAATAGCTTCAATTATAAGGAAATATATATTTCAACTAGTCCCCTTACTTGGTGATGTTAAATAGTTACGTTTGATCTTTTTTCCCTTGTGTCTCATTTCAGCATTATGCAAGAAGGTGAAGAGAATTGTCAGCATTTGATAGAAGCGCACAAAGCTTGCATGAGATCCCTGGGATTCAACATATGATCTGTTCATGAATCTCCAGTCATGAAGTGTGATATGGTCTGAGTGAAATTGTCTAGTAAATCTATTTAGCAACCAGTTGTTGAACTCAGTTGCGTTGTGAACGATTAAAAAGTCAATTGGTTAATTCACTGAATCTTTCTTTTTTAAATCATTCGAAACACAATTTCACAATCCAGTACCCTTCACTTGTCGCGAATGCATGCAAGAAAAGCACTTGAAAATTCAATGAGCA